GTGCGCGGCACTAAGGATCTAAAACAAACTCAAGAAAATCCAAGAAACCACTGGTGGTTGAGTACTACTGTTGGTGGTGGAGGTGGACTTATCTTGGTTTGTGTATTAGGTTTGGGTTTGTTTAACTCGTGCAAGAAAAGGGCACCAGAAGGAAGGGCTGCTAAAAATCTTATGATTCCTCATGACATGATTGAGCAATTGGAAAAGGAGATCCGCTGCCCAAGGCAGTTTTCATACAAAGAATTGGATTCCGCAACCAGACATTTTTCTGAGGGAGAAAAACTTGGAGAGGGAGAATTTGGTGTGGTTTACAAGGGCTACCTAAAAGATTTGAACTCTTACATAGCTGTTAAGAAGATCTCAAAACCAGGGCTCAAGGAAGTCTTGTCAGAAGTAAGCGCCATCAGTCGACTTAGGCATCGGAATCTGATACAACTCATTGGTTGGTGCCACGATGAAGGAGAGCTCCTACTTGTCTACGAGTTCATGCCCAACGGCAGATTAGATTCTCATTTGTTCCAAGGAGAAAGCCGGTTAGTTTGGGAGATAAGATACAGAATTGCTCAAGGCTTGGCCTCTGGGTTGCTCTATCTACACCAGGAATTGGAACAATGTGTTCTGCACAGGGATATCAAATCCGAGAATGTTAAATTCGATTCAAATTTCAACGCTAAACTGGGGGGTTTCAGGTTTGCTAGGCTTGTAGACCATGGAGAACAATTGGAGGAGACGACGACTATAGTTGGAACCTATGGCTACATGGCTACTGAATATTTGATGACAGGAAAAGCTAGCAAGGAGTCAGATATCCTGTGGAAAAGCTAGCTTTGGAGTTGTTGCTCTGGAAATAGCCTGTGGAAAGAGAGTTTTTGATGTGTTGGAAAGTGGTAAACCTAATCTGGTAGAGTGGGTTTGGGAGCTTTATGGAGAAGGTCAAGTCTTTGAAGCAGCTGACCCAAAATTGTGTGGAGATTTTGATGAGAAACAAATGGAGTGTTTGTTGATTGTTGGGTTGTGGTGTGCTCATCCAAATTACAATTCCAGACCTTCAATACAGCAAGTGATTCAAACGCTTAACTTTGAAGTTGCAGCGCCCATTCAACCATCAAAGATGCGAACTACTACTTCTCCTCTCACAATATCAGTTTCAGGTTCGTCTTCTAGTATTGGTTCTGAAAGAGGGCAAGTTGATGACTCTGGCCCTGATTATACCACCAATTGCTCAGAGATCACTGAATCTTCGGCAACAAATTCTCCTCCATCAATTTCGCTCGGCTAAGAAATAAGCTTGGCTTGTGATAATCTCGAATGCTTCGTTGATGAAACTCATGATTATACACGTAGGTTATTAATTAGTAAAAATTGATCTAGAAGAAGCATTAGGTTGGTGCTAATGGTTTTGGCTCTCTGCATTTCACAGATTGCCATATTTTTTGTCTGTAAGTCAGATCCTCTGTTTCTTTCACCAGCGCCTCCATGGTGGACACGAGCGGGCCCACAGTCTCCTCTATGTAAACGACGTCCGTCGCCACGACGACGTCGTATGGAGGGCTCAGAGACTTGGCCTGATCCGCCGCCTTGTTCCAGTGCACGATGGCGTGCTTGAGCGTCTTCCCCAGGACGGGCTTGTTGCGCGTGTGTATATGTTGTGTGAAGTACTGGTGAAATTTGATTTGATCAATTCGTAAGCAAATTTACAAGTAGTGTAACAAAAACACACAAATTATATTAGTATTAAAGCAGCAGAACAAACAGCACAAACTTTGACAAACTTTTAACACAAAAAAACCAAAAGAAGAAATTCCAAAATCTAAGACCAAAAACCTGCACTCACACAGAGTCAGGAGCAGCATCCTGAGTCGGCCCTCTTTTTTGTTTCTTGCGCAAGACAAACACATCAGCCTCTTCGTACGCATAATCTGGGTGCAAATCCTGGTGCGGAACTTTCTCAATCACAAAAACCCTCTCACACATTTCCCAGAACAGTTGGTGTGCTTCCGGAGACCTCAGCTGGTAGCCGAGCAAAACGACGCCGTCGTCCTTCACCAGCGCTTCCATGGTGGACACGAGCGGGCCCACAGTCTCCTCTATGTAAACGACGTCCGTCGCCACGACGACGTCGTATGGAGGGCTCAGAGACTTGGCCTGATCCGCTGCCTTGTTCCAGTGCACGATGGCGTGCTTGACCATCTTCCCCAGGACGGGCTTGTTGCGCTTGAGGTTGTGCTTCAGTGCCGGCATGACCGCGGGAATATCGGTGAGGACGATGTCGGTCAAGCCGAGCAGATAGAGACCCATGCCGGCGGCTCCGCAGCCGGCGCCGAGCTCCACGACTCGCTTGCCGTGGAAGTCGAGGAGGTTGGCGTAGGGGTTTTGGGCATCGGGGCTGGGTGGGGCCCAGCGCTCGGCGAATTTGACGAGGACCAGGGAACAGGGCCAGACGGAGGTGCCGACGTGGAGGGAGCCGTTGTCCTGTTGGAGGGAAAGGACGGCGGTTCGAACCGGGAGCTCTATCACTGGTGAGTCGGTGAACTTCATGCCTCCCAACTCTCTGGTCCGTAATTCTTGCTTCGTGTTTTTCTTGTTGCTACTTGCTTGTATTTTCATTTTATTAATGTTAAATTACTTTTTTTCTTCTTTCTATTTTTAAGGAAAATAAAACAACATTAACAAATATAATAAATTGGCTTGGAAAATTTTAATATTTTACTCTAATGTAAGTTATTAATTGGCTGGCCAATCTTTTATATAAATCTCTTCTGCGATTATATGTAATAAAATTTGTTTGGTCGTTAACTACTTATAAATTTAGTAGTATTTCTCTTTTTGAAAGGGGTTCTAAGTCCGAATCTACAAACTTTTGTTATTAGCTACAGCACAATATAACTCAAAAGTTGTTTTGCCTTGACCATAGCTCTTTCAATTTCAATGATAAACTCTCTAAAATGACACAAATGCATGAGCTAATTTGTAAGGATGTTTCGTATCTCAAAAAAGAAGAAAATCATGTAAAACTAGAGTAGGCTTTAGAAGTTGAAAGTTATTGGTGTGCTGTCCATAGGAGAGACTTTAAAGAGGGCTGGCCCAAGCTCAAGGCGAGCAGGGTGGCTGCAGCTTGGGCTTGCTAGAATATTTGGCTCACTCGTCATGATTCATGTGCAAATGAGTAAGAAAACACAAATAAAATATAGCTAAAAGTCATTTTTAGTCCATGTGATTTACCTCTTTTTATTTTTCGTTCATGTAGTTTTAATTTGGTTAATTATGTCCTTGTAGTTTCATAATTGTAGCAATTCAAGGACAAGTTAAGATTCAGTCAAATTCTTTAATGGGGTTAGGGGTATTTCTGTCAACTATTGATTTTGATGTTAGGGTTTATTGATTAATTTTTTTAGAGCTAGATTGGGAATGCTTTTATTATTATTTGCTACTTTGGTCACTTTGGAATTTCATTTCAATGACAAATCAATTGCTTGTTTCTTGTTTGCAATTAAAAAAGTATTTAAATTTAAGTTTCTAATTTTTTTTAACTAAAAATGGACAGAAATACACCTGAAGCCGTGAAAGAAATTGACGGAATTTGTAACTTGTCCTTGAATTGCTACAATTATAAAACTACAGGAGCACAATTGACTAAATTAAAACTACATGAACTAAAAGTTACATGAACGGAAAGTGAAAAAGAGATAAACTAACCAAAAGTGACTTTTAGCCATAAAACATACCCTAAAATATGTAGGCGACTCATCATTGCAAGATAGAGAAGTAAAAGAATTTAGCCAAAAAGACAAGATTGACCAAGGAAAGAAGACCTGGAATACTCATAAAAAAACTAATTTGTTATAAACAATAAAATTATCTATTGCATAATGCAAATATTACAATTAAAAAAATGATATATGTTGCATTCCTAAGAGGACACAAATTAATGTGCAAACAACCAATTAAAAATACCCGCAAGTGCACGAATCTATTGAAGTATAGATTATGTAAGTACGGGGTCGATCCCACGAAGAACTTGTCGGCTTCCTATAAGTTCTAATTTGAGTACGTAAAGAACACTTAATTGACACACCACAAATGCACAAATGCAAAATGGAAACTAAAAATGAGTAAAGAAGTGTAAAAGAAATGAAACAACACAAGAAAACTAAACAAAAACACAAACAGCATTTTCTATCGCCATTTTATCACCACTTTATCACCTGTGACCTGTGAACAGTGACGTGAACAGCGAACAGTGCGACCGGTCGTGAACAGTGACGACCGGTCGTTTTTGGGCAGATTCATGTGCGACCGGTCGCTGAACAGTAACGACCGGTCGTTTTTGGGCAGATTCGTTTCTCTATTTTTCCAGTTTCGACCTCTGTCCAGTGTTTTGCCTATAACTTTCCAACCGTACGTCCAAAATTCACGTTCTCGGTTGGATTCAGCACAGAAAATGGAAGAACACAACGCGGACCAAAAGTCCAAAACAATTACAGAAAGAAATAAAATTCAGTAACAAAGACACGTAACGTGTCAAACACGCAACTCACACACACATTGGGGGGGGTTTTGATTTGGTTCAAGTGACCTATTTCTATTGCATGAAAGTAAATGGACTTTGAATTTAAATGAGAA